GGCCCTCTTCGCGACGGGTCTGCCAAAGAATATTTCGAAAAGAGATTTCGCTTATGTATCTCTTGGATCAGTGGTCCCAGCGGACGTTGGAATCAAGAGGGAATAGTAGTGAATGAGAACATCGCGCAGCCTTTGATGAATTAAATAGAAAATAAAGTACGAGGGTGGAAGGAGCGCACGAAAGTAAGACAGATGTAAACGAAAGGGGGAAGAAATATTGGATAGAAGGCTGCTGCGTGAATGGACGGTATTGAGGATCGTCAAGAAGAACAGCTGCAAGGCGGTGCACACGCAAAATGTTTCCCTCTTGATATACATCCTCGCCGAGTCTTTAGAATTTTTCAGTCCTCTTTTTGCAGTCACGGTACTATCAACTCTAGGTTATTAATGATCATCGTCGCCGGTTATTCTGTTATATACATATTCTTTCAATAACGCATTGCGCTGTAATTTCAGCCGCTTTACTTGAGATTCTCTACAGCTTCGAGTGCTTCTTCAGCCCTTTCCAGTCCAGAACGTTTCCTCCATGTTACTTCAGAATTAGCTACAACATTATATAATTCTTTCATCTTTCGTGTTGTAATTTATTTAGAACAATTGAAAAATACTGCAATTGTCGCATTCTTCGCGGACATAACACAAATCAGCAAAATAAGTAATCACCGGTGCAAAAAGTTAATGTCCGAATAGGATCAATAGTAGAACTAATTTTATAATTTACGATTATTTAAATTGTTAAATTGCGAGCAATTAATCAGTAAATTGATTCGTTTGGTCGCACGTTATGATAACAATTTTTAAATATCTAGGTACGTAATTGTTACTTTTGTAAAGTGCGATCGTTGACAATGATCAGTGTTTGTTAGGTTTGTAGCAAAATCACGTGAAAGGACCGATTTATAATAAAAATAGTATGAGAAAATATCCACGTCGTTAGTAACAACGGTTTTAGTTATTTGCTAGTAATTTCCATCAGATGAAACTACAATGCAAATATTGTTGTGCCTTCTCTATTCATGAAGTACAATAAAATGTATATAGTGATTAAATTCTTCCGAACCAATTGTATTCCTAGAAGAAGAATGAAAGTATTATGAAAATGTACAATCATTAGCAAGGAATATATGTACATCCATAATATACTTGTTAGAATGAGACAGAAAGGGACTAAAGAGGAGAACAAAACTAATCAGATTAGTTTTACAACTGCGAGCAGATCAAAGATGAGAAGCATAAATTACTTTTTAATATTAATCGAAAAACTTTTCGTAGTACTTATCCGTTACAAGACACCTTTGAACCTTCTTGAAAGGGACAAGTTTATTACAGAAATTATTCCGCAACGAATACATAATGACGGCAAAATTATTATGGCTTTTTCTGTACGTAATGTATTTAATGCAACGATATTCAATGCAGTTTCAACGGTATTTAGTAAATAATACAAATAGTTAGTAATATAAATAGTACATTGGTCACGCTCATGGTTGGCAAATCTCAAATCGATTTTCCTATCGTAAGCAGCTACTTTACGAATTAATGGCCACCGCCCACTGTTTTGTTTATGGGGACAAAGTCTGCTATGGGGTAGCCGGCAAGGGTTCTGAACCTAATTGTGAGAGGGGTGCTCACTTACAATTAGCCAATTTGTTCTGTTGTGTTAGCCTTGCGAGATAAATCTTCGAGTTTATAACGCGTCGATTGCTGCAATAATAAATTTAACGATTATTTGAATTGATATAATTGTTTGAATGATTTTTATCATCTTCTTTATAATTATGTACACAACTTTCTATCGACTATGAGCTTGATTCTGTTTTCTGATGGAAACAGTACCCCTTTTTTATTCCCACTACATATATAGAACGTATTACGATTCTTTTGTTATTCAACACTATGTGGACAATAAGGAGAGTTTCAAAATAATATGAATTAACCATTTGTTTCATAATGAGATTAACAGAAATGTATTCATACGAACATTGTGAAAACGTAGTCACTAGGACTCGTCACTAACTTTTTGGAATTCAGTACAAACGCTCTCAAAATTGTTCAATGATTACCAGACCGCAGATTTTATGCATTTATGACAAAAATGAGTAGGTCGAATGCAAGACTGTCCACGCATTTGAACAATTCGAGGACAATTATCATTTTTCATAAAGGTCCGTAATCTAATCATTGCATCCATTTGAAGAACGGTATAAACTCTACCCGTTTATTGAACATCAGTTTCAGAAACCAGTTACAGAGTCGTGCTGATTCAATTACATTTTAATTCAATTTCGCTATTTAATTACATTATATTTCATAGTTACGTAATCCAAAATCAATGCAACTGAAACAGAATGTAATTCGAATTCAGTTCTTCTGTTATTACCTATTAATTCAATATTTTTCAATTTGCAATTTGAATTCAATTGCATCGTAATTCATAATTAATGTAATTCAATTACTTATAGAATTTTGTAATTGTACTTCATTTGCGTTTACGAAACACGTTGTAATTGAATTGAATGGAGATCTGAATTACGAATTACAATGTGATTGTACATACAATGTGATTATATTACGATGTAATTGAATTACTTCGTAATTCTAATTCCTTGAGTAAATTCTCCATAACTCAGCCACTCGTGACGCATCATTTTACATTGTCGGCCTAATTCACTTCTGAAAAACTGTAAAACGTTTTTACATATTACGCGTTTTTTGAGAATACATAATAATAATCATTCGTTCGAGTACGCTTTAATTTGTAGACATTACAGAAGCATTTCGTTTTGATGCATAAATCTACGCTTCAGACGTAGACAGCTAAAATCACCGCTTGTCTAGATACATTTCCAATCGCTCGGGAGCCGGTTCGAAGCAATTGCAAGAATGCGCCTTTGTGTTTGAACAATTGCCGGTAAAGAAAGTGTGATTGCCGGGAAAAAAGCATCCGATCGTAGGAGCATGCTCAATGGGGAACCAACGAATGCTACGGCTTGTATGAGCGCGCGCGTTTCAAAAGTGACGATCCGAGAATAGCGCACGCAAATAGAACGGCCGCTCTTCCACCCTATCTCCTTCGCAGATAATTCTTTCCTCACGCTTCTCGGCTTGTTCGAGAATATCAAACGCGCTTGCTGACGGCAACAAGATATTGCGGATCCCGCCGAGATTCTGGCTTTCCAGTTGGTTACACGCAAATAGCTTCAAATTGTACCATTGCAACAATAGCCTTTGAACACGCGGCACGCTAAGTAGCCCGGCGCTGTTTCTTATTCATGTCAAGTTGGAAACTTGATACTGACGTGGCGTTCATGAATTTTGGAGATTCCCGCACGCGCGGAATGCTCGGATTTGGTAATAACTTGGTGCATATGAAATCTCGGATTTGTATTGCGTATAAACGTTTTACGTGGCTTATGATATAACTTTTTTTATGGTTTTATCGTGCATTGCCAGCATCATATTGCGCCAAAAAAACCTTTTTTCAAAATTCTGTATATTTGTCACTTGGCTTGAGTTTTGCATGACTATGAATTCTGCAGATATTCGTGTAATTTTTTTTCATAAATCGAATTTACGCATTCGAAAGACCAGAACTTCTTCAAAAATCGCATTTATATATTAAAAACTCGCTGGGAAAAGCGTATCGATGCAAATGGTACATATTTTGATGAAATAAACATCTTTCGAAAGTAGATCTGAAGGTTTCACTGTTCGTTTAAATTTCATATGCACCAATCTAATAGAATATACAGTAGAGCACGAAAAGTTTAGCTGATCGAAAATCATTTTTACGAATGTAATATTCAACGAAATGTGTACAGATTTGAAGTTATTCAGTTACGAATACGTATCAAGAAGAAAATCAACTACATACGTCGAATCTGCTACGAAGTAGATGCGCATAATTTTATTTTTCTTCGGATTAATCTTAGATGTATCGAACCTAAGCAATCATTAATCACCGGTGATTGTTTGAAACTTAAATTGCGAAACTCGTTCCAGGAAAGAATGCCACGTAACTTCGATTTTCTCTTTTGTTCGTCAGTTTGCAACACAAGTGCGGCGAGCTGTTCTGGCTCTTCAATGAATTGCCGTTGCAATCAATGTTGCGATACTTCTGCGAACGTCTAGCTAAGATTACAACAAGTGTATATATACACGCGTATATTTGTGTGGGTGCGTCTCGATGGCGAAAAGGATTTATCACGAAAACAGATAAAGCGGCACTCGATGTTACAACGAATGAACGATCTTCCTTATTTATCCATTCGTGTTCACCAGAGTAAATGTAGGTGACAAATGAAACGGTTTCTTATCTCGGATCGAAAAAATTTTCCAGTACACTCACGAACACCACAGATATTTACTCGTTAGCACTGTATGGTCTCATTTTCGATATATTATCACTTAACCACTGCGGTTCTTCGCACAAAATAAAAATGTTCTACATCCAGAGTTGTGCAGAATTACAATCGAATTACTAAAGCAATTATAATTTCAAAATAATTCGATTACGTTATAATTCAAGCACATTGTAATTCGTAACAATTTTTGTTTCTACGTCTTTTGTATGCCTCGATTTACTTTCATTGCTACATTTCGATCAGAAAAAAATCAAATTCTCTGATTCTTCGTATTAGCAGTCCTCTCTTGCTTTTCATTTTTCTTTTAACCTATCAAATTTTCAAATTTTCTGATAAATGCGTATATATAAGTCCTACAGTTCAATTAATGCACGAACTTATATTAATAACTTTGCATAATGTACATAAAGAAGCTAAATTCATGCCCTAGTTATTTTTATATAATAAATTATATGATTTTGTATCTATTAATTTGATAAAAATTCAAAATTCGACGTTTTTCTTACAACCGCAGACATTTGCTCCAGTATTCATACCACGTGTCGTGCGATATTGTTTATAAAGAACACGAAGTCTCGATATGCAACGCTCGAGTTGGTAAGTTAATTTCATGGATCTTCCCGTTGTTGTTCGCAGGTACACAAAGATGGTGGTGGACTCGAATTTGATGGCGCAGAAGTACAATCCCGAGTACACCGTAACGACAATGTCACTGCCGACAACTTCCTATAGCAATACAAACACAAGCGTGCTCATTGACCAATTGAGGCACATTAATCAGGTGAGTCCACCAACTGTAATTTGTCGCTCGGCTTATGTTAGCCTTGGCTGGTTTTGTTTCCGATGTGGAAACACGCCTCTTGTTTCGACCTTCTATTTCCGAAATTAAGATTAACACCTTGTGTTGCGATCTTTTTCCTCAGCCGCTCTAATTAAAAAAAACTATTTCATCGTTCATAATTTTGTACAGGAAAGAAAAGAACAAATGCACACTGTGCGTTTTACGAATAACGATTAGAGATTTACTGGTTTTTAAACCTTTGCACTCGGAGAATTTTCTCTGATCTTTATGCAAAATAAAAATTATTTGCTTCAATTGCAGCAGCAATTATTATGTTTAATAGATTCGAAAGAATGTGGCAATACGTTGAAATTCTACTAATGTTCGTACTGTTCTATGCCCTCTTCACTCATTTTTGCCATGAATGCAAAAAAAAAATCTGCCGATCACCTAACAAAAATTCGGACGTATTTATTCGCGAACTAGTGAGTTACGCTTTGAAGAAAATATAAAATGATAGACTGTTGGAAATAATTGGTCTGTTTAAATAGAATTTCATAAGAGATTGTATCGGTACAGATTTTACGAAACAGAAATTGTTAATTTTAGAAGTGCTACGATTATTAGAACTGTTATTATCCGAGTATAAAGGGTTAAAATAATATTCACGTTAAACCAGTGCAAAGGTAGGAAGGGGTAGAAATTTTGAAGTTCGCGATAACCTTAATCGAGAGCTGTATTATTCATAATGCTGAAACGACTTGAAAACACTGTTACGTTATTTTTAACTCGTTAAAATAATTAAAGAATGAAATTAATAGCTATGTAGCTCCTTGAATCTTGTAATTAGCGCAAACAATTTTTATTTTGCATAACAAAACCGTGAATTTTTATCCACATTTTATGCGATAATTCGAATAAGTTGCAGAGAATCAGATTCTTAAATTGTTTGAATGTTTATTTAAATCGACGCGAATTGATGCGCAACAAAGTAGTGTCGAATACGACACTCGTGACATCTATAAACGTAAATAAACTAAGGATCTCGTATCAGGAGCCGTCGCATGGAAAGCCTGTTTTGTAACGCTTTTCAAATGATCTCTAGATGATTTCTTCTCGGGTCTCGATCATCCGCCGGGTCTTTAATTTATCCGACCTATCTGTCCTCCGATTAGGCTGGTTAATCGAGGTTCTACAGCAATTTGTACGTGAAACACTTATTTCGGTCAATAGACAGATTACGAGCAATTTAAGGTCGTCGAGTTAAGTGAATCACCCGATATGTAAGCACTTCCACGTTCCCGTGCGATCAGGCTGGCCATAAATTACGTTCTAATCTCGAATTATTCATACGACGAGGTGTGCAGTCGTGTGTCTGGCGTACCAGTCTCGCTCGCGTTCACGCGCGGGATAGAAGGCGTGAAAGATTCGACTAAAGACCGCGTGGGTGAGCTCGGTTCCCCGTGTCGGTTCCAATTGTCCGCGTTTGCCGAACAGGTGCGAGAACGGCAGCTTTCAGATGCACGAACAATCCGAATTATTGGCAATAGATCTCGTTCACGGATCGAGCACAATTGATCCGATTACATCCAACCTAATACGCAAGTATAAATAATAATACAATGAATTGTCGTGCACTAGAAAAGTGGCACTTGTTTCAGATTCTACGAATTGAAAAAATGCATTTGTTACAATTGTTATCGTCGTATGTATTGAAGTGAATGAAGTTTTCATACAAGTATTCTTATATAATAATGTTAATGAGAGGATAAGAGGATCATTTTTTTATTCAGCTTGTAATCTTGTAATAAAATCAAATTATATCTTATACTTTGAACAGCTATATCGAAAAGACATCGATACACTTTTTTCAAATACCGATACGATTTCCATTAAATGTATAAAATTCATTAACCGTAGAATTGTATTGATCGAAGATAATTTTAAACCAATTTTGTAGGTATTCACGATAATGAATTATTGTTCATGACCATGTAAAAACTCGAGAAACATTCTCTCAATTTGTCTATGATGAATTCTATGTGCAAACGATCTTTCTTTATTGAAGCAGCTTTAAATAAACCACTGTTTATGATTACTAGACTGCAGATTTTATGCATTTATGGCAAAAATGGGTAAGTATAACACAGAATAGGGAAGACACGATGAATCGAAGAATATATCGTTACACTACTTTTAACTTATTAAAACTACCAGAAGAAAAAATACATTTTTATTGAACTCCTGTTTCGTACAATTGATGCAGATTATTTTTATTTTGCATAAAGATCCGCAGTCTAACGGCTACTATCAACAACTTGTCTATTGGTTTTGCTTCTTAAAAAATTTCTTCTATTGGATAATCGTATTCCACACAAAAAAAGAATGAAATTGGTATTATTTATAAATAATTGAATAAAGTTCGTGCTTAATTCTTGAGGCATAAATGAAAACAGTAAAACAATATCAAAAATTTAATAAACCGATGACAGTCCCTCTAGATAGCAGATCAAAACATGTGCAACCATAGATAGGCTACGGCAAGTTGCGCAATTCGGCATCCTTTGGTAGTACCAGGATCGCACGAAATAATTGAGAATTAATTAGGTGTGGCCTACATCGAGGATCCTGTTTTTCCGAACAACTTATCCAATTTAACGTACACCTGCACGCGTTCAAGTACTATATTGTGATCGCTAGTTTACCTGTCACGCCACGAAACGCCTAACGCTTAAGCTCACGTTAATTCGCATGTCTGGAAGTCGGACCGACGACTTCTGGTTGTTGCGTGTAGAACACCTGCACACCCGTCAACAGCAGACGTATCGCAACTGCGTAATCCAGTATAAAATCATACAAAGCGAGAAGAAGGTGGCGCGGAACGATATACAATGACAATGTGCGAACTCATGAATGATTTATGGGCAGCCACCCCGCAGACAATGTGCATTCGAATGTCGCTACTCTACTTTTTTCTCTGCCCCTCCACCCCTTTGCCGCGACAAAATAAACGTCTATCCAGTCGCTATCCGTCCGCAGAGCCGTCGTTTTGCATATCGAATGGAATTACTAAATGCAAATAAGCCGGTATATTGCAGCCAATGCAATTAAACAAATTAACTACCTCGATAATTTCAATATCGTTGCGGGAATTACAGCTGCGCGTCATTGTTAAGCTGCGCCTAGAGAATCGGAATTACAATAGAATCACCGACAGTCGAACTAACAGAAAAATATGAACGTTCTGATTAGGAAATTTTCGGATGATTGAAGTGCAGAGTANTCTATGTGCAAACGATCTTTCTTTATTGAAGCAGCTTTAAATAAACCACTGTTTATGATTACTAGACTGCAGATTTTATGCATTTATGGCAAAAATGGGTAAGTATAACACAGAATAGGGAAGACACGATGAATCGAAGAATATATCGTTACACTACTTTTAACTTATTAAAACTACCAGAAGAAAAAATACATTTTTATTGAACTCCTGTTTCGTACAATTGATGCAGATTATTTTTATTTTGCATAAAGATCCGCAGTCTAACGGCTACTATCAACAACTTGTCTATTGGTTTTGCTTCTTAAAAAATTTCTTCTATTGGATAATCGTATTCCACACAAAAAAAGAATGAAATTGGTATTATTTATAAATAATTGAATAAAGTTCGTGCTTAATTCTTGAGGCATAAATGAAAACAGTAAAACAATATCAAAAATTTAATAAACCGATGACAGTCCCTCTAGATAGCAGATCAAAACATGTGCAACCATAGATAGGCTACGGCAAGTTGCGCAATTCGGCATCCTTTGGTAGTACCAGGATCGCACGAAATAATTGAGAATTAATTAGGTGTGGCCTACATCGAGGATCCTGTTTTTCCGAACAACTTATCCAATTTAACGTACACCTGCACGCGTTCAAGTACTATATTGTGATCGCTAGTTTACCTGTCACGCCACGAAACGCCTAACGCTTAAGCTCACGTTAATTCGCATGTCTGGAAGTCGGACCGACGACTTCTGGTTGTTGCGTGTAGAACACCTGCACACCCGTCAACAGCAGACGTATCGCAACTGCGTAATCCAGTATAAAATCATACAAAGCGAGAAGAAGGTGGCGCGGAACGATATACAATGACAATGTGCGAACTCATGAATGATTTATGGGCAGCCACCCCGCAGACAATGTGCATTCGAATGTCGCTACTCTACTTTTTTCTCTGCCCCTCCACCCCTTTGCCGCGACAAAATAAACGTCTATCCAGTCGCTATCCGTCCGCAGAGCCGTCGTTTTGCATATCGAATGGAATTACTAAATGCAAATAAGCCGGTATATTGCAGCCAATGCAATTAAACAAATTAACTACCTCGATAATTTCAATATCGTTGCGGGAATTACAGCTGCGCGTCATTGTTAAGCTGCGCCTAGAGAATCGGAATTACAATAGAATCACCGACAGTCGAACTAACAGAAAAATATGAACGTTCTGATTAGGAAATTTTCGGATGATTGAAGTGCAGAGTAAATTCTCTCCAATTGTCCCTCAGTTTGTAAACAAAAATGGACAATTTGAGAAGAGGCGATACGAGGGTATTCGAGCCTCGCGGCTCGTTTTTACAGTTGTTGATAACTATAAATAAGTCACCCTCTCGGTGAGTAGACAGTCTCGATAAGAATTGAATCGAAAATATATCATTTTGTTCCTGTTTATTTAGCATAAAGTTGATAAGCGTAGCTACATTTCATTCGTATTTTATTACTGCTTATTATAGAGTCGCAGGGAAAGGTACAGCGTCCTTGTAATTACGAGTAGGCTGTCCATGTTCATGCATTAAAACACAGAAACTAAAGTTTTGGTTTTAGTTTTTGAGTATTTCTCTTATCCACGAATATTGTTACCGCAAGTAATTGAATTCTCTCGCACTTTCATTCACCGCGGTGCGAGAAAATCATTGAAATGGAACGCTTAAACATCGTAATTGTCTATGATACTGCAGACAAACTAATTTCCATTGTAACTTAAATGCCGAACAATCGTCCTCTATAAATCCTGTTTATATTATTTATTTTGTTTTTATTATTTATTGCAGTTTTATGCACAGTTAAAACATATTACAGTAAATATATAATCTTGAACTCTTTTACATCGTGCAAAGTCCGACGAAGTTCTGCTCAAGCAACCATATTATGAGAAAGATTAATTAACTTTTCAAGGTGTTAATAAATTATGAAACGTGTAATACGTTGTATGTTTTCCATTAAGTTGCAAGAAAGCGTATAATTTTCAGAATGGAATTTATTGTTTGAATTTAGCAACTCGTCAATTGATCGATCATAATCCTTTTTCTTTTATACTTCGTAAAACTGATTCACAGAGGTGTAGACCTATACGTAGACCTACGGCTTTTATAGTTTAATCGTTCGTTCTAATTTTGATTCTCTTTAAGCTTAACATTAACGCCAATTTACACAAGTTATTTACGCAAAATTTACTTTCATTCCTGGCAGATTTTGCAATCTCAATTGGCATCGACGCCCGACAGTGGAACACTGCTGCTCGCTGACGAAGCTTTAGATGGCTCGGGAAGCGGTGACAGGCCAATTTGGAGGAAGAAAGGAAAGGGCGACGACATCGACAACGACGACGAAGATGCGCACGGAGACGATCACGACGACGAAGAGGCGTCTGGTTCTGGCATGGGACCCACCACAACAGGTACAAATTTGAAATCCTTATTATTTTTAATTACGCCCTCCCAAGACTCCAAGACTCCACTTGCAAAAAATCTGCGAAGTTCGATCGAGTTCAAGAAAATAGCCTCGTAAATTAAGGTCGCTTATAAAAGATGAGAAATTTCAGGATAGCATAATTCTAGGTTTAAAGAAGCATGGTGATAATCATCGCTCCGTTAATAACAATGATCGTAAGCTATCTCTGAACAATATTTGTTAGTTTATCTTTAAACAACATATTTGTTAGTTTAACCACTTACACCAGAACGATGAGTCGTCGATGCATTCGAAATATTACAAACCATGGCTCCAGGATAGTTTTTTAACTGTATTATTTTTACATTAAGTTACCGTGTTTTAAAATGCAAACAAAATTTAAAATATATCTTGAAGTCTTTATTTTGAAGCTCTTTCGAAAATCATAACAGAAATTCAAATAGACTTCTCGGTTCTACCTGGTTACCTCTGTGGTAAATTTTACCCAGTAGCGTCTCTCCCGCCGCGAGTTGAATTGAAACAAATATTTTCTTCACTGTGCGTAAAATAACATGTTTTGCTGGCCAAGCAACTGCAAGTATACGTCTTGAGTTCAGATTGTTGACGTTCGTGTTTACATACGACATGTATACATTTTTAAAAGCAAACAGATGCTGAAGAAGCAAGAAATATAAGAAGAAGCTCATTTCTCAAAACAACATGTGTTTGTACTTTTTTTCTATAGGTTTACTTTCTCTCATAAACATTAAACATAACGATTAGAATTTCAAGTAATTTATAGAAATTTACTTACACGAAACGTTGTTTGGTGTATAATTGTTTCCGGTGCATCTTAAGGAAATACTATTTCAAAATTAGTAATTGTCTTTACAAACAAGAGTATTTCATTAACTATTCCTATAGTTTTACCCAAGACTGATAGTACCGTCGCGATCGAACAACGCCACAGTTAATTAATCCGGCCGACGAAACTACGATACAAACCGTTCGATTAATTGAACAAAATGGCCCGTTGTTCCAGATCCAGTGATGAAGATGAATCATGACATGACGACCACGGCTGGTTCATCAAGTATCCTCTTGTCGTCCGCCATCCTGGTGATCATTTGCGTGCATGTGATCGCTTAAATCTCATCGGAGCCAGAAGGAACAAGAAGGGTAACCAGCAATTCGACGGCTCACGACCTAGACAAACACGACCTTGAGACCCGCATCAACGGACAGTCCGGTTTTCCAGTTGATACGGGGAAACGATCCGCCGATTCCGCGCCATGAGGATCCGCTTCGTAGGTATTTATCGCGCTGTCTGGCCCGAACAGCTGCGAGGAGGACAATGTTGCCGCGTAACTACCGTGAAACGGCGGGCAATCTGTTTCGTAGTTCGCGGTTCGAACAAGACATTCGCACGTGGCCAGCGGCAGAGAGGTGTCAGAGAAGAGAGGTTCGGAGAAATTCGGAGAAGAAGCTGAGTCGCAGCCACCACCGAGTCCTTTGTGTTCTCAGTTCGTCGATGATCGCCGAATGCAACGAGTCCGAGGCCGAAGTGATTATTCCGCGAGATCGTTCCGTGTCACGGAATCATCCGCAGGTCCCGATCTATAGATTTTATAGTATGGTATAATATAGCACAGTATATCTATAGTATAGAAGAACGGCACAGGCAAGGGAGTGAGAGAGAAAGAGAGAGAGAAAGAGAGAGAGAGAGAAAAGAAAGAAGCTGCTGCTGGAGCGTATACCGAGTGTCTGCTGACGGTGCGTGGTGTCTTGGCAAGAACATGGTCCAGCGTTTGATGGTCTGCCAAACGGAGCCAGCCAGCCTCCGTTTGGCCCAAGCATTGTTCTCCGTTACCAGAGCGGCGGAGAACGGGTCTTCATCGGTTGTACATTTTTGTTATTCGTGTACGAGGACTAAGGAAATTTCTATTTAGAAAGGCAAGACTGTTCTAGAGAAAAATTAAGCTGTTGAACTTCGTCGAGTTGCTTCCGCGCGGACAGGCGAAGGCGATAGAGTACTAACGTTGAAAGTAATGCCGGTAGACAAATTCTCCCTCCCTACTTCAGGACGCGAGAACGCGCGAGTAGTGGCGAGTACCGTGAAGATCTGCACGCGGCGGGAGCAGTATGATGTTTCGCGGTTTGGATGCGTCGGATTCGCACCCGATATCGTCACTCCGCGATGTAAACTATCTCTCGGGTTGTAAAGCCGATTACGCTGCGCGACGGAGTGGATCGATATCGTTGTCCGTTTAATTAAAAAGGGACAACTGTTTGGTTGATTTAGAATGTGCCACTCGACAAGAATGAATAAGATTGCGGCTGAATAAGAGTGAACCGAGCAACCGACAACTGATCGACGACTGGGGACTAAATGATGATGAACTGGCGAGTGACTACTGACCTGGTGAAGAATCGGTTTCGAGTTTTTATACTGTTTCGTGGACACGGAAGACTAGAAATTGAGTGGCTAATGACGCGACGGAAGGGGCGACCGAAGCGGCGTGTGCTCGCGACCCTGTCATAAAAAATGCTGCCGATGAAGGGGAGTGCATTACTCAATAGTGCAGAAATGGTTTTATTGCCGGAAAGAAGATGGCTCGAAAATCATAAATTTAGAAATTGCAAGGAAGAAGGCTGTGGCTCTGCGACATTGAAAACCTAACGAACGTGACCTTTCATCGATTGCACGTCGTTCGTTGAAGGACTGTTCAGTTGTCTCGTTGAGCCGAAGATTCCCCGTCAATAAATGTTTTTTTAGGGGTAAAGGGGGAAGGTAATTCGTCCCGCGGAGAAAGTTAGGCGGAATGCAGTCCGAAAATTCCGTTGAAGGACGGAACAGAGAGGATCGGTTAAATCGGACGAAGGATGCTAGAGCTAATTAAAGTAATTCTGCGGTTAATTCTCGCGACAAAGTTCATTATACACGTATTCCTAGTTCGATGACTTGGCTTTGAATCACGAAGGAAAGCAACACAACCGAACGGAGGGCACCGCAACTGTTCTCAGTCGCGGCTAGCGGAACGATGTTGGGCAAGGATGCTGAACTATGCCCGGTGAACGTTGGATAACGAGTTTCGAGCGTGTACGGAAAATCGGACGATCTAGCAATTCCTTTTTTTCATTTCGTTGGGAAGCTTGTTTTTCCATTTTTTGTCTGTCGAAAGAACGCACTGTGCTGCATCACGAGTATTGTTAAGGGAGGTAGGAGTTCTGATTGCTTGCCGATTGTTAGTCTGTTCGGTTGACTCGCTTGTTGAGCGTATCGGAAACAAGAGTGAGAAACGTCGAATGGGAATGGGGAATAAAGTTTCGGACATTTTCAAGAAATCCTGGGAATGATAATGATAATAATAATAGTAATAATAATAATAATAATAATAATAATAATAATAATAATAGTAATAATAATAATAATAATAATAATAATAATAATAATAATAATGTCTATGTTAAGCGGAGAGAAATGCGTCCATCAAGCGGGAATTGCTGTTCATGTTTTTCATCTGGAGTTTGAAGACATTAAAATGAATGTGAAGCATCTAAATTAAATCGTTAACGGTCAAATCCAGTGCCATAATATTTTGCCGATGTTTGTGAAATGTAGAAACGTCGTCATGCTTTCGAATTCATTTAAACTGTTGTTTCTACGTTGATTGCATTCGATGCGTTTACGTGTATGTTAGACTTACGGTAAAATGTCGATTATTTGAAACAATGACAGGGCGAAGCGTTACGGACAATCAAACTCTTGGAGAGGGGAGGACAAAAATTAGACGCGAACGGAGATGAATATTTTTTAAGGGTATCACACAACCTGGACAACTCTTTCGGATGGAAACCGGCTCGAAGTGTTCGGATTAGTGAGCAGAAAATAAACCCTGAAATCCGTTTCTAGGATTTATTTTGATATTTATTATCTAGGATGGTTCCGGTCCTAGAAAATTTATTTATATAAATTTAATGGCTTTCCGAGAGCAACATTTGATAGTGACACTCATTCGAGACGCGACAGCTCTAAGCTACCATGCGATGTAAGGATATCGATGTTGCATTGGTCTTATTTTTATTACTGTATATACAATTTTACAATGTTTCTTGCGATGTTTTTGTTCGTATGTGCAAAATTTTTTCCAATCCTGTATGTATAACAGATTTATAATTTTGTAAAGTATTAAATCATTACATATTAAATGTGTAATACAGCACGAGTAATATTAATTCTCCTAAATTCTTTTTCAATTTGCAATAACACTTAGCGAATAGTAATTCTGAAGGCATAATGTTACGTTACACGGTGTACATATTAACATCCATGTTCAATAAAACATTTTTTTTTTTAAACTTGTATTCGTTGAACTCATAAATAAATTGTCATTATATTTATGTGATTACAGAACGTTGATAAGTATTACGCAACCGATGAACAACTAGTAGCTACGAGTCACGATTAAGGTAGAAGTCAATTTAACCCTTTGAATTGCGTCATTGTTCTTTTCTCATTGTTACCTTTATCCTAAACATTTAAAAATACGTGAAACTTTATTTGTCTTGCATTAATTATGACAGATCGAAAAACGATTTACAACGGTATCGTGTGCATTTTACTGTACTCCAAAGACGTTTACATGCAAAATGCACAAAGATCTATAGTCTGACAATTGCAGATCTTCGAGCGATAAGAAATGCTAGGAAGTTATGCATCAAATTGATTCGAACAACGAACAACTGTTCGAGAAACGACCGTTCGCGATTGCTCTTGAGAAAGTCATTGCGTTCCAGTAAGTTCTAAACTTACGTGTCCGGGCAACGAACGCGTTGAGTATATTCTAGTGCTCGAATAATCGACGTTCTACTCTATTTATATTTGTATTATACATTTAGATACTCGAAGTGCCAAAATGACACGAGTGCAACGTTGTCTGCGAGAACGTACGTCGTACTCGCGGGGTCGAAACTCGAAACGAGACACGCTTTCTCCGCGTCTTGAACGTGTTCCCGAGCTTTCCGAAGACGGACCTCGGACTTTGGCGGTTTGCTTTCCGGCTGTAGAGCCATTAGGCGTAAGAAAACGAAAGTAAACGGGGAGCCAGCGAAACAGAAGCCTGTCGGTGAACGATTCCGTAACACCTCGGCGGCCGCACTGATTGTATACACATTCGATTTTGTCGGATCATTGAGGATTAGTGCCTTTTTGAATATTCCCGGCCGTAGCGTCGTGTCATCTTCACGCCCGACAGAAGGAGCGAGAGAGAGAGAGAGAGAAAGAGTGAGAGAGAAACAAAGCGAGCCATCTATAAATACGAGTGTACAGGGCATTCATGCTAATAAAACGAACAAAAAAAAAGACTAATACGAAGAGAAAAAGAAGAAAGGATAAGAATTGTGTGAGGGTGCGACCTTCTGTTCCTCCTTTGACATTCTTTCTACTGGAAGATCACTTATGGGAACGCGTGCTGTAGCCTCTCGCTCGAGCACTCGGGCCAGAATCTAATTTCTCCCGAAGCTCGTGGATGTTGACCAATTGAAATCTTGGAGGAAGTCCAGACTATACGAATGTAAAGTAACAGCGAGCTTTGCAACGACGAGGCCTACGTTGAATAAGCTTAGTTTTCTATCGATGAGCACATGTAGTCCATTCGTAAGGTTAATTGTAAACGATAGGAGATACGCGGAAGAAGCTAGTCCATCGACCCGTGCGAACATTTAAATTAACGGCGTTACTAAACGAAACTTCCGCGAAACGATCGTCGCCAGTTCCAGTTTCTTTCTGTTCCACGTACGGTAGTCTTTATCAAACTTTCCCATCTTGTATTACTGCGGAAAAAATGATGCAGTGGTGCCCCGTTTATCTTGTTCAAACAGTACCGAATCCGGATAATCGAAGAAGTTCGTTGACGACGTAAATAACACAGTTTATATATACGTTTCATTTGATTTCTTTATTGCACGTTTATATATACATAGATACTTTTATAGTAATATTTACATGTAGAAATATTTTGTTACCGTAAAAATGTCTGTGAGCGTTTTTTTTTCTCGTAGATGCTTTGTCGTCACGAGTTTAGTCGAAGCTGTATCAAGTTGTATAATACATTTTCGAGCATCGTTGTCGCTTCGTTGTGACTAAAACATGAATTTCTTGACGTGAAAATTTTGCTCGCATATTATTCATACTTCTCAGGTAGTCGATTATGTTTGATAATCCGGATGAACGGCGTTCCACTGTAATTCGACCTCCGAATTTTGTTGAAAGTTTGCGAGTCTGTAGGACACTGCCTAACTTTTCCAGGGTAAAAACAACTCTGAACAGTTACAAAGAAAACGTAGTGCCTCTTTAAAAAAAAAAAAATATTCAGCACCATGGAATCTTCGTTCCAACGAGATTCCTCCATGTTCACTGCCTTTTGAGAAGTATTTTCACTCTGCAGGGCCAACGAACGGCAAAAACGCAAATCGCCTGAATCTTTGGAACATTGGAGTTCTTTCGCGAGTTTCGCGAAAGCGTCAGCTTACGCTGTACAGTGTGATATTTCGATATTTCGGTAGGGGGACTTAATCTTCGATGACTATTTCTTTCGTTCTCTCACATTATGCGTTTGATTATAATATTACTTAGATCGTTGATTTCTAATCGTTTCCAATGTTTAACAATTATTTTTCATTTTATCTTTTATTTATTTCTCGGGCGAACTGAACGCCCGTTGTAGTCGTCAGATGCAGCTACGTTTGTAAACACGAACATGAAAAAACTGTCCGGATCAACGACAGATGAATGTGTACAGTGAACGCGCATTAGTAACCGCGGTATAAGATGGTATAAAAAATAATAGCGCTTTCTTTCAATTTTCTAGTAACTAAGACTTCGTTTTATGTGGTCAGTAAAGAGCGAAGGCTACATCTGTCCATATATCGAAGCTTTAGTCTTCAGAATAATGGGATATAAGTTCTTCGATTTTGTATGATTATATTTTGCAAACTGTCATATATTCGATGTAGAGAATTTTTAAATAAGAAATATTAGAAACATGCCTGAAAAAGTGGAATAATACGATAATAAGACTCTGCGACTAATAATAATAAGACTCAGCGACTCTGAATAAGTATTATTTTTAATATTAAACTGTATTCAGATGATTGCTATTGTAATAGCATTATAATTGTTATTGTAATTGTAATAACATTATTGTAATAACAATCATCTGAATACAGTTTAATATGAAAAATAATACTTATTACTACAGAGTCGCCGAGGTATTGCTTTCAAATTAGGGTGTATCTCGGAAATTTTCTAAACACCTTCACTTTTGAAATGAAATCCACCTAGGTTGTCGAAATATCACGCTGCGCGCAGCCGCGAGAATAACAAGCTGATTATTCGAGGAACGCGAGCGAAAGCGTTCATCCCGGCGATGTCGAAACGTATGTACGGAGCCGGGGCATAGCGTGATGAATCGACGGGAACGTTTTTTTAAGATCCGATGAATTATGCAGCCGGTAATCGGCCCGCCGCCGAGAGAAGACCAATTTAACACGACTTAGGCACAATTGTCAGAACTTAGTGTTGTAATTCCTCTCCACGAGATCTCTCTTTGTCGGTCTGGAATTTAGGCAGCAAGCATTGAAACGGCGCTCACGCGTAGGTCGTCCTTTAAAGCATAGTTTGTTGTCCTCGACATCGAGCAGGGTTCCGTGACCTCTTTGATCGCGGAGACATTCATTTATGCCCGTTTAAACGATGCACGCCTCCCGTTATCATTTACACAGAGATGCTGTTGAACACGGTAAAAAAACACACACACGCGCGCGTAAGAAAAGATTGTGCGATCAAGAGATCAAGAGATTCATCTCGGATTCGCGGCTAACTCCGTTTCCTTATCGAGACATCGTTAACGGCACTAGCGACCGATCATTTTATTTATATTGCTCTTTGTTATACAAGTTTTGTGGTGCTACGTTCAATAAAAGTGACGATTAAATAAAAGTGATATATTTAAAAGAAACGAATATTTTGTGTTCATGTTCCGAAGAAGACTGCGCGCAACGAACGAGACGCGATCGCGCGTAGTGCGATTCTCGTCTTCGATCGTTCGATCTATCCGATGCTGCACACCGCGGACGAGTATTGTCGACGAGATGAATTTTCGGAATAATAGCTGAACGAGGAATTAAAGAAACGATACGACATTGAATGGGCTTATTGTGCCCGCTTCAATTGGCTCGTTCAGCGTTGAATAGCGTCGATGGCGAATTTAATTAAAGCGTTACACATTATGGGCCGTGGTAAGCTTCCACGGCCGACAGCTGCGCAGCTCGGCACACAATGTACCGGGCATAAACGTAACGGAACGAAAACTTTACGGAATCCTTACTACTTGCTTCTCAATTAGTCGTCCGTCAATTAGCAGCCACGACGCCGAGGTCGCTGCTGAGCGGCGCCGCGGCGCATCCTCGTCGAGGAACAAGGAAACCGCGCATAAATCGTACAAATTTCAGGCCTAATTCAATGTTTCTCGTATTACCGTAATCACGGCGCAACGCCGGATGCATGCTGCATGCGCGCTTTAAAACGCGTGCACGCTGTCGCTCACAAATATTTGATCGTTTGCAGCAGCGTTCACGGTTTACAGGAGGGAAGAAAATAAATCGTGCGTCCGATCGTGATAGGCTGCTGCTGCGTAAGGGCAGAGTTTACACGAGCATCGAGATCGACGAACAGTGGTCGCCTCTTCTTCTTTTACTAATGGAAAACTACGAAAATTCGTCCTTGTTTTTAATTAGAAAAACAAGGGAAGATGATCGACATTCGTTTTTTTTCGACACTCGTCTGACTCTGGCCTAAGTTGTATAAATCATCGTTTGTCAATGGCTGTTTGTTTGCATTGTTGATGGACTCGGAATGCAACTTGAAATGCAACGAAAACTGTATATTGAAGGATTAAAAATCTTTGCAACATCGGACTTGACAACAAACAATTTTCTTATTTCTCATCTCTTATAAAACAGTTTTAGAAGAATTTTAATCGTTTTCGAATCGCACGATTTTTTTGTAAATGCTAGATGATATATATAGCTTATAGCGGGTCCAAGTCATCCTACTGTTAATCATTATCTTCGAAAAGTATCGTTTAAGAGTCGAGAAGTTTATAACGGACGAGCGGTTGCTCGATTATTTAAATTCAATGACAGTATCATTCAGATGTTTATTTTCAATGAACTAAAATTAATTTTTGATTTATGTCACAAACTCAGCATGTACTTGTAAAATGTTTAGGAAAATTAAAGTTTGTGTTCCTATGTATTTTTACAAAATTCACAGTCTAAAAGTGAAGTCTATAGAATGCGTTCTCTACAAACATGATTTATAAGGAAACCTTATATGTA